AGGCATGTACTTATTATCTGCGTGAACATTCCCCCAACCAGCCTACACCAGACCTTTGCACCTCTGTGCAGACCCTGGGCCACCAGGGCATTTGACTTTGGGTATGTCATACAAGTATAAATGGAAAATTTTGCCCAACATTTTTCTTTTCTGAGAGGCTACAGTTAATCCCACAGAAACTTCTGGGTCACTAGTACAAGATATATACTTGTTATAGTAAAGTGTTCTTTACCTCCGAATGTCAGTTTTCCTAAGGTCTTCTATGTTTTACAAATCCCAACAAATGGGGCGCCTGGGTGGCTCAATCAGTTAAGCATCCGACTCTTGATTCCAGCTCAGATCATGATCTCAGGGTCCTGGGATCAAGCCCCATGTGGGGCTCTGCACTCGGTGGAGTATCTGCTGGAGATTCTCTCCCTCTGCCCCTCCTGAGTACTCTCTCTCTCAAATCAAAAAAATAAAATTTTTAAACAAACAAGAATCCCCACAAATGATTCTCTGATAATTTATAGCATTAATGTCCCCCTAGATTATAAATTTCATTGAGATTACAGGTTTTTCTTTTTTTTTTTTTCTCTAGAATTCAGTGTAAAAGATGAATTTTCACTCAAAAAGACTCAGCCTTTTCTGGGAGGAAACCAGTTGCCTTGTTTTATAGTGAGACTAGTAAGTGCTATAGTCAAAGGTTATAATTCTGTTATTTTGAACATTTCCTAAAGAATTATTTGTATGCATCTCAAACATTTTTTTACAAAGCTTGATATAACATTTTTCTCTATTAAAAAAAACATTTTAAACAAAATGATAAATCTTTATGATCACCATGGAAACATCAGCATCTTTATGACTATATTTTCTATTTTCAATTCCATTTTGGGGATTTGGGGACCAAAAAAGGTTAACTTGAGACAGTCCTAATTTCCTTCCCCAGCCCCCCAAAAATGTTTAAATAAATTCGTGGGTACCATAAAGATATTTTATTTTAGGGTTGGGCCACAAAGTGACCAGTTAAGTTTTTTCAGGCTGAATGTGTTTTGTTTAGGAGGTGGCAAGTTAAGAGGAAAGCAGAGAATTAAAATATTTGCAAGATGTCATTAATCTCCAGCAAGAGCCTAGAGTTGTTTTTTTTTCCCCTCTTCATTTCAGAACTAATCCAGCTTTCTGTTATTTGGCTCAGAAAAGTCTTAAATCTGTAACAAGAGAGTAACTTCCTGTTCTCAAGAGTATGGCTGCCAAAGAAAACATTTACAAGAAAAGTTCCAGGGCCAAAAAATTGCCTACTAATTATTTCTTAACCCCCTCCCACCCCTAATTCAGGAAGGTGAATGCTGTAAATGCTATATGTTAAAACTCGAAAGTATGTGTTGAAAAATTAAGAGAAAACCCCTAAGAACTGTTTGCTATTTATTTATATTTTATTGCATTCAAATTACATGAGTTTTATGGCCCTTGGGCACAAATTAATGTTTCTTAGAATATTTTGTTCGGAATTCCACAAAGATTATACTATACCTTTATCAAAATACATTATGGAAATTTTTACCTGGTACCTTCCCAACTGAAGAAGGGAGAAGCAGCCCTACCATTCGGGATCTGACCTAGTACTACCAGCTAGGCTGTGATATTGCTCCAAGTTGGCCTGACACTCAGCAGTGAGGTTTTTTGGTTTTTGTGGGGTTTTTTTTTTTTTTTTTTTAAGATTTACTTACTTGAGAGAGAGAATGCAAGTGGGGGTTGGGGCAGATGGGGAAGGGGAGAGAGAATCTTAAGCAGGCTCCCTGCTGAGCAGGGAACCCAATTGGGGTGCTCTATGTTGGGCTCAATCCCAGGACCCATGAGATCAAGACCTGAGCCATAACCAAGAGTCGGCCGCTCAACCGACTGAGCCACCCAGGCTTCCCACTTAGTGAAGTCTTGGTGTTCTCCTTGGTGATCTATTCATTCAGTGCAATGCCAATCAAAGTCCTAGAGCCTTTGGATAGAAATGGACAGACTGTAAAACTCATGGAAATACAAGGGATCTAGAATAGCCAAAACAACTTCAAAAAGGAAGAACAAAGTCAGAGAGCCTATGCCACGTGATTTCAAGGCTTATTAGAATAAGATGGGCAAATAGATCAATATAACAGTAATGAGTACAGAAATAGACCAATGCAAATATGGCCAATTGGTTTTGACAATGTTACCAAAGCGAATCTGGGGGAAATGGGTAGTCTTTTCAACAAATGGTGCTAAAACAATTTATACTCTCTACCATGTATTAATAATCTAATCCTGTCCAACAAATTACCCCAAAATTTAGCGGCAAGTCTCCCTCTGGTCTTTTTGCCTCTGGCCCCTCTTCCCGGAAACACATCTCCAGTCTCCCTTTGGGGCTTTCCCTTCTCTGACAAATTCAAATGGGTTATTCTCAAATTCACATATGAGGAAAAGGAGACTACAGTTTATTTACTCTGTTTATCCAGGAACATTTTTTTCCCTATTTCCCTCCTGCACAGTCCCACTAATATTCATTGAGTCTCTAGTCTGTGTCCAATAAGAGGAAATCCTTAGATTTGCAAATATTCATGATGCAACACCTCATTCCCAGTAATTACAGTAATGCAAGTATCAACTGTTGGCATGTCTCTGGTGCAGTGCTGGAAAATTTTTCCATTCTCTCTCGCGTGATCTGCACAGCCAGCCTCTGAGGGGGTGTAATTCCATTTCTAGGCAAAACTGCGTATGGGAGCGCTGAGTTTGAAGTGGCCCGACCAAACGGGTATTGTGACTTAGTGGCGGACTTGAGACCGACCCCAGGCTTCCCACCTGTGTTCTGGAAGCAGGCCTGCGTGGTTTCAGACAATTTTCATCTCTCTTTGAGTTTCAGTTTCCTTGTCCACAAAATGGCACTAGTAACATCTTCTACACACAATGAGTGGTTGCAAAGATTTAGTGGATATATGCTGGGCCTAGCTTAGTAACTCTTGGTCTCCTGTATTTCCCCAGCCAGGGCTCTTTCTGGAAGACTTTCCATTTGTAGATTTCTTCATGATTATCGAGGTTTGGAATGAATCCCCTCCTTCATGGGAAATGACCCCCAAGGAGCTCACATCTTGGGAGAGACAGGAAATGGACCTCATGATCAGTCACTAGATGTAAGAAGACAAGAGAAGTCTCAGAAAAAAGTCCCCCTGGGATTCAGAGATGGTAAAGATCAGGAGGAAACCGACTCTCGGAACAATTTTGGAGAGGCAAGGGTCTCAAGGTGCACATACCTGTCTCCCCTGCATCTGGCAGGCAGCACCTGTAATGCTTTGGGTTGCACTGAACTGGGCTTCCAGAGTCTGGATATCAAGAAGAGTGCTGTGGTCTAATGTGGCCTGAGCCAAGACAGGAAGGAATCCTGCCCTTCCTGTCACATGCCCCCACCCCACCCCTTGCCCTTGGGGGACCACCCTGGAGCTCCTGGAGCAGGAAGATAGCATTTTTGGGGGAGGAAGAGGGTTCCCAGGGTAGACTCACCACCGGCTCAGGGGCCAGCCTTGGTTGGTGCACCCTCTAGTGGGAGGAAGGCACGTCATCATCACTCAACTCCAAGCACTTGCCAAATGTCCCTCCTGCCCTGCCCTGAGATCTGCCCTCTGGGGCAGGTCCCACCCAGACTCAGACTCAGTCGCATGGCCTGAATTTTTTTCTGTCTCCATGGCTGGCTCTTGCCTCTGACTAAGCAGCAGGCCTTCTCTGATTCTGGGATCTTGGGGGAAAGCCCACTCCCTCAAAGCCCAGGCCTGTTTCGTGTTTGCTGCCATGCTCTCTCTGGGCCCTGGGGACGCCTACAGGCCTGCAGCTCACACCTGCACAGTCCCTCAGCTCAGGGATCCAAAGGCAATATCCTGAAGGAATTTTTTTCACTGCCTGTTTGGGGGACAGGTCTGCCTAAAGCAGGCAACTTTATACAGTCCTTCATTTCTCATTCCCAGTGTTGGCAAAGGGGTCAGGAAACCCCATTCTCATCCTGTTGTAAGAATTTACATGGACACAAATTTCAGCAGGCCCAACTGGACCATATGCACCAAAAGACTTTAAGTTTGCATGATTTTTGACCCGACCCAGTGATTCCTCTTGTAGGAATTTATCCTGAAAAAGTAATTAGGCAAGTGTACAAAGGTGTATGTATAAGATGATTCATCAGAGGACTGCTTAAGAAAATTAAAGACAACTTCCCAAATTCCAACATGAGGGGGTAGGACAAGTAAATCATAGTACATCAATAATATGGAATCCAGTTAACTGTAAGAAACAGTGGCACAGATCTATATATCCATATCTGTATAGAATGATCATAATATAGTAAGTGAAAAGAGGTTACAAAGTATGTAATGAGAATAGCACTTATTAAGTGCCTACTGTGTGCCAAGCACTATTTTAGAACTTCATGGATATTAAGTCATTTAATCTTCCCACCAACTCCAGCTAAGAAATAACTATCACAGATCCCATCTAATAGGGGCTTGAAGAGGTTCTTTAACTTGCCCAAAGCATACACTAGTGACTGAGCTCAGTCTCTAGAGCCCATGTTCCTAAATACCACGATTCTGCTTTTCAACATAGTGCCATATGTGTTTTAAAAACAATTGTGTGTGTGTTTTAAGAAAGCCAAGAAGGATTGAAATGAAAATATTGATAGAGGCGTTATTATACGATGTTATTTTTTTATTTAGGACAAAACCTTGCATACAAAGATGTTTTTCATTTCAGGAAGATAGAATTACTATGTACTATTAGCGTTAACTAGATAAATTTCAGGGTTTAAACACACACACACACACACACACACACGCTGCTACATATGCTGGTACTCTCTCACACACACACCCTATCTTATGGTTTATAAATGCTTCTATGGACTGTACTGACCGAAAAATCCCTGGGTGCTGACTTTGACACTCCCAAGCCCCATTCTGCTCTCTACCCCTTCTACCTGACCATGGATGAAATCCAGAGACAACATAGGTAGGACAAAATATATGGCATTTATTAAACATATGTGACATAGGTTATAATATCAAAGTAGAGCATGCATGAACACATTATTCATTTAACAGAAACACCAATTGATACTGAAAACATTAAATGATTACATGTCCACAACATACAAAATTCTCTTTCAGTTAGAAAGGGAAAAAGAAAAATCACAGGTGAAATAAATACACTGATTTCGGTGAGCCCCATGAAGGCATAAGGCACAAATTAAACCAAGGGATTAGCACATCGGAATGAGGCACTTGTGCCTGCAGGAGGCCAGTCTCCACCCATGGCTCCCACAACCCCACACAGATCCTGGACACCAAGAGAGAGGACCCTTCCCTGGCAGGGTCAGGTCTCCCCAGGTGCCCCTGCGCCTGTGGACAGGCTTCTGGGCACCAGAGAAACACCACCTCTAATACTTTTATGGGTGAATAAAACCTTCATGCTGTAACAAATGATCCTGGCGGGAATAACATGAAATTTCAAATTAATGCCCTTTTTCCTCCCAACCAAAGGCTAATAAACCAGAAAATGAATTGTGAGGGAATTCTCCTGACAGAATTTCAGTGTCTACTCGGAAAGCTAATGATGGCCCAGTAAAGCATGGTTGGGTGTTTGAAATATGACCTTGAAAGCTCTCTTTCCTGCCCTCCCCCACTTTTCCTTCATGTTTTAGAAGTAGATCAGGACCTCAGCAGTCTTTGTGGCTGAAACTTGTATAGGAGGAAGCAGTAGTCACCCTTCCCAGACCTCAAGCCACATGGTTCTAGGGCTTTTGTCCATCTGTACAAAGTGTGTGTCTCCAGGTGCCTAAGTCAGTGTTTTCTTCATGGTTAACTCCAGGACCCGTGTGTATGGGGTATAGTTCCTGGAAGGCATCGAGATTTCACGAGTCCTACCTGTTGGGCTGAGAAATGAGAAAAGGCAGGTCAGGAAGATGGAACAAAACTCACCATATTCTTCATGTAAGACAATTCTAGGAAATGGTTTTGCCACCGCTGTAGCCTAAAATTTTATAAACTGATTGAGTCAGTTGAATTTTCCATTTAAATATTATAGGAGGGGCCTTTATTTTTAGCAACTTTTTTAAGATTGATTTTTTTTTGAGAGAGAGCTGAGCGGAGGGAGGGGCAGAGAGAGGAGGAGAGAATCTTAAGCAGGCTCCCTGCTGAGCACAGAGCCTGATGTGGGGCTCGATCCCAGGACCCTGAGATCATGACCTGAGCTGAAATCAAGAATCAGACGCTTAACCGGCTGAGCCGCGCAAGTGACCCTTTAGCAACTTTCAAAGGTTGTGCTAAGCATCGATAATTCAGAAGAATAAAAAACCATGTATTTAAGGAACTCCTATTTTGGTGGGAAAGGGATGTGCATGAATAACTGTAATAAGAGACACATAATGAGCCGTGCTGGATATTCTCCATTTGCCCGTTCAGATTAACTCTTCCCTGTCTCCACCTCACTCTGTGCCCTTGGGAAGCTGACCTGAAGGTCAGTGTCCATGGGTTCCCTTACCCTTTAGCTCCCAGTGGGTTCTGAGCAGTTGGGAACTGGTAGCAGGGGATGAGAGGCTGCAAGGACAGACGGGTCAGGACCTCTGTTCCCTCCTGGCCAGGCTGCAGCTTGGAAGTTGGCCGCATTGCCCTAGCGAAGGCCACAGCTTACAGCTCTCCCCTTTGCCTGTCCTCCCGGCTTCCTCCCCCTGCCTCTTCAGGCCCAGGCTGGTAACAGTTCCCACTATGCCAGCTCCAGAGTACGCCACTGCCCCTTGTTCACTTCTCTCAGAGCTGCCGAAACCTTCATAAATAGTCCCTTCATCCCAGTCTCTTCAGTCTTCCTGTCCTGTCAGGACTGTGAGCAATACAAGAATTAACATATTATGGGCACACTGAGGGCAGAACGAGTTAGCGGCACTTAGGAGGGCATCTGGAAATGTGCACAGAGAGGGGAGTCTTGCAGGGTGCCCAGGCGGTCCTCAGGTGGTCAAGGAGGAGATGGGAATTCAAGTGCAAGGGGCCAAAAAGGGTGAGCGCAAGGGCCGTGGGTGTGGAAAGGAGACCTGTTTGGTAGGACTGGAGCAAAGAGCTCTTGGTGGAAAGTGGCAGAAGACCAGGCCTGTGTGCCCTGCTAAGGAGTTTAGAAGGGGACACAGAGCCACTAAAGATTTGCAAGGAGGGGCAGGATATGCTCATCTCTTTATTCTAGCAGGGTTCCTTGGCAGGTTGACTGCAGAGGGGTTAGTCTGGAGGCAGAAGGTGAGTTAGATTTTTTTTGATATTTAGGTGGTAAGAGATCATGAGAGCTGGAATTCTAACTAACACTGGAGGTGAAGTATCAAGGAAAGGGTAGGGAGATATTGGGGAGGTAGAATTAACCAGGATTTGGTGGCTGAGATGGAGAAAATCTCCCCATTTCTTTTTCCTCCTGGACACACAACTACCTTTCCCAGCGTCCTTTGCAATTTGATGGGCCATGTGACTAAATGGACAGAAGTGATGTATATTACTTCCAGGTTTAGCCCATAAAATTCTCCTACATAATCCTCTATGCCCAGTCTCTTCCCTTTCATGCAGAGAATATAGTGGAGGGCTCAAGAGGACTCCAAAGCCCAGGCAGGGTGACTAGCTGGAGGAATCCGGGCTCGTGAATGACTACGTGCCGTGAGGCCCATGCCAGCTGGTCTTGCACTGTAACATGAGAAATCGGTCTTGGTTTTGCTAAGCCGAGGTCTGTGGGCTTTTTGTTACAGCAGCTACGTTCCTTCTCCCCACTAATGCAGTGACAAGTTGCGTGTGTGAGATTGGAGTCAGCTCCCTTCCCTGAATGGCCCATAGCCTGTCATTCACAAAGCGATGTGGAATCTACCTCCTCAACTACCGTTTTGTCACGTGCCTTCTCTGTTCCCTCAGCCCCTGGCCTAGTTCAGCTTCTCAGAATCTATCTTTGAATCCTGGAGTAGTATTCTAAATGGTCTCCCTCCCTCTGGTGTTGGCAGAGTCTTCCTCCTCCTCAAATCCTCCACCCAGCATGCTGTCAAAGAGATCTTCCTGATGATCGAAGTATAATACCATTCTTAAAACTTCAAAGTCTCCCCATTGCTTCTGGGATGAAGTCTAAGCTCCTGTGTATGGTCTTAAAGGCCCTCTGCTGTCTCCTGTCGTATCTCCCATCTGGCCTTGCTAAGAAACACAGTTGTCCCCATTGCCACACTGCCATTCCCATGTCATCCCCTTTGCCTTGACTGCTTCCCTAATCCAATGCATCTGAAGAATTCCTGCCTATATTTCAAGACTCAAACCAATATCCCCTCCTATATGACAATTTCCCAGATTTCCCACCCCAGTGATAGAAATGAGCATTCCTTTCTTTTTGTGCTTTTTGTCTGTTCCCTTGAGTAGTGGTGCTCAATTTTCTGCTTCCACAAGGTCCACTTTTGCTAAACTCTCCCAGCAGTTAACACTTCCCACTACCCTGCAGTGATTGTCAACTGTAGTTGGCGTATTGCTTCTTAATGGGGTGTATTAGAAGCTTGGGGGAAATTTTAAATTCACCTGTCTCCCCAAGAGATTCAGTATGTCTTTTCCGTGCTTTCCAAACTATCCTCCCCACATACACCTTGAGAAGGGCTGTCATACAGGCTTCCTTTTTGTTTTTTTAAAAGATTTTATTTATTTATTTATTTGAGAGAGAGCGCGTGAGAGAGCGAGACAGAGCATGAGCTGGGGGCGAGGCAGAGGGAGAGGGAGAAGCAGACTCCCCACTGAACAGGGAGCCGGATGGATGGGGGCCTATCCCAGGACCCTGGGATCATAATCCGAAGGCAGACACTTAACCAACTGAGGCACCCCTAGGCTTCTGACACACCACTAGAAGCACCCCGTTGTCCCCTCTGGTCTACACATCCTCTGCTAGTCACAATTTCCTGAAGGCTGAAAGCCACACTCCTCTTCATGACTAGCAGCTCACTCAGGCCGGGCATAGAACTATCACTAAATGTATGGATGAGGAAGGAAACCAGAGGACAAGGGATTTCCAGGAGTGAATGGTCAGAGTGTCACCTGCCACAGAGGAATCCACAAGATCTGGGAATTCAGGGGTCCCCAGGGACCTGACCAGGCAGGTTAGTGGAGTGCCGGGGCAGAAGCCAGATGGTGATTTTGCCAACCACTGAAAATTCCACGTAGAGGAAATGGTCTCTGGTGATAATATCCTAAAAGCCCGTAAAATGCAGAAATATTTATAAAGGTGAGCTTTCCGGGTTTCAAAAACAGGCTCCGATATCCCAACCTTTCAAAAAGAAGTGAGGTATTTTATGTGGTGGATCACTAGGAAACAACAGGATCTCAAGAACACAAATAATTTCAACCACAGAACTGAAATTCAACCATTTTCTTTGAGGCTATTGGTAACCTTTTATTATTCCATAAAGGGGCAGGTCCTCTGGGGGAAACAGCAGCAGAGTCAGCAAATAAAGCTTTGTTTGACAAAAAGCTACTTTGTGTTCTGGTCTCTAAAACAGAAGAAGTATGAAAATGTTGGCATTTTAAAGCGCTTACTATGTGCCCGGCACTTATGACCATGGGGAATATTTTTCATTACATCACACCTATTAAGACATAATTTATGAGCTTGCTGGAAACCAAGTGTCACTAAGGGGCAAGGAGAAAGTTTCTTTTCTTTTTGTTTCTTGTTTTTCATCTTTCTCTTTGAAGGCAGGCTAGCAGACTGGAAATTGCTCTCAGTGGCTTTCATTAACCTGTATCAAACCTTTAAATCAAACTCTTGAGTCTTTTTTAAAAAATAGGTGTTTAAAAGTCTCTGAAATCACAGTGAGTGCCTTTCTCACCCCCTCCCTCCCTCCTTGCTCTGCTGTAAGATCCTTGCTCTCTTGAAAAGAATGGAATGCAAGGGTTAGATGAAGAGAGGAAGGAGTTGAGAAACTAGAGACAGAAGGTGGTATTCAGTCGACCAGACCTAGAGAACCCAGGTCTCCAGCAGCCTGGTGGCAGTGGGACTAAAGGGGGACAGCCCTGTACGGGCACTGAGGCTGTCCTGGAGCACAGGTGTCCTCAGTGAACTGACCTCAGGGCCGGACCCGGGAAAGTCGTGGCAGCATCAACGGAAAGAGGAAAATGCACCCACTCCCCTGGGCACTTTTTGCCTGTATCCTACTTCACCAGCCCAGCAGGGCCCCCAGGGAATTCTGTCAGAATCTTCCAATTCTAGCTGAGAAACTGAGACTCAAAGAGATTAGGGATTTGCCTAAAGCTGTAGATACAGCGAGAGGCAGATCAGCCAACACATGTTTATGGAGCATCAAGAAAGTGCTGAGCTAGGGGATGAGAACCCAGGGTCCCTGTCCACTGGAGTCCACAGAGTTGGCACAAATAGGGAAGTAGTGGTGATGTGGGGAGGAGGTCACAAAAGGGGTTTACTGGTCTGTAAGTAAAGAAAAGGCTGATTGCGAATTTTTCCAGCATAAAAATCAAGCAGCAATAATTGTAAGTCAAACGCTGTTAGCGCAGCATGAAAGCCCTCCAGGGAGAGGGAGAAATGAGTCCGAGGTAGCTCACTCCTCTCCCGTGAGGCCGCGTGCGCAAGCACCCGGAACACGCTGTGACCCCTCTGGCATCTCAGCTGACAGGGGCCTCATCCACCACGGGGCCTTCCAGAGTTTTAGGCACTGTCTAGAGGGCTCCAAACCACAGAGAGTTTAATTGGAGAGCTTAATGCATACTGAAGCACTATCAATCCGTTGAACAAAATCACTAATAAGTTAATGAAATTGTCTTAGCACACCCAAATTCACTTATATTTGATCTGGTGTCTTACATGAAAAATCAGGGCTTTGGTTTAGTTAATAGTAATAGCTATTCTTTATTAAGTACTTAACCAGTTACCATGCTAAATACTGTATATACATGTTTTCATTTAATCCTCATAGAAACCCTATGAGATTTGATATTGTCCTCTTCATTCCCATTTTAAGGATGAAATAATGGAGCCTTCAGAGCGATTAAGTAGCTTGCTCAAGGCTGTGCTCGGCTGGCAGCTGGCTGGGCAGCAAAGCCCCACGGCCTGAAGCTCCCCAACTGGACCACACTGCCTGGTTCTTTGTAAGAGAACAGGTAGCGAGAACAAAACTCATCTGCAGAATTAAGGCTTAAGGCAATACTTTTATTCATCTAAAACATTTCAGAGGAGGCCATTTTCAAAATATTCTGGGAAACACCGTAAGATCTTGTATTAGGTGCAAGTTCAATGTCCAAGTAAGAACCAGGAATTTTGTTAGAACATACACAGTACAATTTAGCAACTCTATTGAGTATTTTTTTAAAATCACACAAGTACCACCCCAGGTTCTAATCCTGGCTGTGTGGCTTTCAGTCAATCACTTACCTCTCTGAGCCACGATTTTGCTCTCTATCAAAACATGGGGATTAAATTCCACCAGGGGGTTCCAGTTTCTTTATTCAAACAAAATCTTACTTGGGGTCCAACATCTTACACTAAAAACTGAGTTTTTCAGTTTTGTGTCGTTTTGTTTTTCAGGAGGGGGAGGGTCCCCACAGGCCAGCTCCTTGCTCACCTCATGCTCCCCAAGGCATCCGGAGGCCTCTCCCTGAGCCCCAGCACAGAGCCCAGCGAGGCAGCTCAGAGAAGCACAGGTGAGAAACCACTGCTCTGAAATCTAACGACCCTGTGTTCCTTGCCACTCCAGCCCGCGTGGCCCCTTTCACGTAGTAGGCACTTAATAAATATCGGAGAGGAAACAAATGGAATCTTACCCTGCCTTTTCGGAAACTCGGATATGTAGCTTTCATTTCCTCTGCTGACTGACCTACGCAGTGAAAGCGCTAAGATGGATCCTGGGGGAAACCAAATGCTACATTTATGGAAAAGCTGCTTTTAGATGCTGAAGTGGCTTCCAAGTTCACCATGGCCATAAGTTAAGGGTCTGTCAGCACTTCCATTATGAAAACCGCTTTGTGGTTTCATAACTTAGCCATAAAAGTTTGCTTCAGGCTATCCTTCGGCATACAAATTGAAAACCTTGTTTTAAGCCAAAATGTGGGAATTAGAAAACAAACAATTTATTGGTTTCAGACATAGTTTTGTGCCCGTCTTAAGCCAAACAAGATTTATTATGTGGGCAATTAAAGTGGACTAAACCACTTGGTTCCTGAAAAATAAAAAAGGAGAGAAATGGCGAAACTATTTATATTTCAGAGTCCCTGGACATGACCATTCTTTTTGCCTATATTTTTATCATGGACTTCGTCCCCCATATTGATGGGACCTCAAGTCTATTTATGTATCTTTTCCCTGCTTAAGCTGGTTAAACCTGAGAAATCATCTACTCAAAACCACTGACTTTACAAATTGGGAAACGGAGGCCCCAGCAAAAACAGTCCGGCCTGAATGCATCCTGCTGCTAGCAAGGAGGACTAGACCCAAGGTATTTGACATCCCAGCTTGGTGATGGACTCACCACCATTTCCCACCAGATTTAACCATTCAAGGTTCCAGGATTCTGCATTTTTCTGGCCTAATGCCAAACACAACACACACAGATGCCCCTGATCACACAGGAATTCACCCTCCTACACACAGTATATGAGGTACTTTGTGACTTTGGTTACCTAAATCACAAGCCACATGCTGTTGGCATCCTCATTATCACCTTGTTTTATGTCCTCTTTGAGCCGAGCACAGTTTCGAGCACCTAGAGATGGTGGGTTGGTTACTAGATCACAGACTCTAATCTTATTAGGGAGAGACCCAGGCATGGGTATGGGGAGCAGCTTAAAGACAAGCAGGTCAGCCCTCGAGCTCAGAAAGGCAACTGAACAAACGAGGTTGTGGTTACCGTTCATCTGTGGTGACTGAAACAGATCAATTTATTTGTGACGCTGAGCCAGTGCTTGACTAGACTGTGTCCTGGCACCGGGGAAGAGATGAATTTGTTGAAGCTTTAGACCCTCCCTCCTCTATGTTACCAAAGCCCCTTACAGGTCCCTCTCGCACTGTTGTAAATGTCCGCCTCCGCGCCTGTCTGCCCTTCCGACTGCATGTGGAGCAGGAGCCGAATCTCATTCCTCTCCGTAAGTGTCTGGCACAGGGACGGTACTCACCAGATGGTTGCTGAGGGAATGAATGACTGGATGGGGGATCAAATGCATGCACTTCCTAACAGGGCCCATCCCTCTCGGACGTGGCTTCCCCAGCCTTCTCTTCACTACCCCCTCTGTCCTGCACAATGCCCCCGCTCCCACAGGAACGAGCCAGACCCCTCGGCAGTTGCTGTTTATCTTTGCAAAAATATTTTTGATAGAAAGAATGCAATTCTGGTAATCACAGCCCCATAAAGTATTTTCTTAAGTCAGAGAGGAATTTGAGTCAGAAAAATAGGAAATTTCCAAATACCTGGGGAGAAGATCGCAGCCCACTCCAATCTCTCTGGTCTCCACCTCAGGCTTGGCCTGGATTTCTATTAAATAGTCCAACCTGCTTTGTAGTTCATTATTCTAGAGCAAAGGAAAAAAGTACTTTTAGTCAAGCAAATAGGTTCCCCCACAAACATGCGTGATAATATGTGTTATCCAATTTTCCCCTATGACATGGATATCTATCATAATGATTTTAGTGAGCATCTCTTACACAGTAGGAATTAAAGAAATAGATTGTTTGCCTCCTTACAGATAGTTTTCTGTGCATGTACATACATATGTATCCAATTTTACATCAGTGAAAACAAACAAAATACCCTGTTCTGTGCTAAATTTGGGGTTTTTTCACTCAGCAATTTGTTGTGAATATCTTGCCATGTTTATTAGTTTTCTTTTTATGTCAGCAAGCTATTTTAATGGGTTCATAGCATTCCATTGTGTGGATGTACATTATTTATTTAAACTAGTCTTATTGATGGCATTTAGATGTTTATCACTTTTCTTACAATTATAAATAAGGTACAGCTCATGTTTTAATACTCCCTTATTAAACTATAAAATGAGTAAGTCTATTAATTTAATTTAGTGGGAAATACCTCTATAACTTAATAATTAGTATTTCATAGGTTTGGAAAATTCAGAATCTCAAACATATAAAGTAGAACAGGCTCCTTGGGATTAAAATTAGCATTCTAAATAGTTTTTTTTTCAGGCCAGAGCCAAACATTACATAGGTTGATGATTAGATGCTTAGGAATTGGAAATCTGCCCCACGGGGGAAAGGAAGGACAAAGGGGCAGGAGGGTTGAGGCTCTTGGAATGAAAACAGAAGGGGTGGTGCCTGACACCTACAGGGCAAACAAACCCAAAATCCAGAAAGCGGTTAACGGTGGTTATCTCTGGGTATTGAGTTTTTTGAAGTTCTTCTATATTTTTCTGTAATGCTAAATATTTTTTGTATATTACTAGTTTGTTTTTTTGCATCATGAGAAGTGCCCTCCTTCCCATCCCCTGTCTCACCCATCCCTCCACCCACGTCCCCTCTGGTAATGATCGGTTTGCTCTCTGGAGTTAAGAGTTTGTCTCTTTTTTTTTTCCTTTGTTCATTTGTGTTGTTTCTTAAATTCCACATATGAGTGAAAGCATATGGCATTTGTCTTTCTCTGACTTATTTCGCTTACAATTATACTCTCTAGCTCCATCCGTGTTGTTGCAAATGGCAAGATTTCATTCTTTATGGCTGAATAATATTCCATTGTATAAGTATATACCACCTCTTCTTTATTCGTCTATCAGTGGACACTTGGACTGCTTCCCTAATTTGGCTATTGTAAATAATGCTACTATAAACATAGAGGTGCATGTATCCCATTAGTTAAAAGTTTAAAAATTAGTATTTTTGTATTCTTTGGGTAAACACCCAGTAGTGTGATTACTAGATTACCCTAGTAGTGTTAGTTCTATTTTTAATTTTTTGAGGACCCTCCATATTGTTTTCCACTGTGGCTGCACCAGTTTGCATTCCCAGCAACAGTGCAAGAGGGTTCCTTTTTCTTCACATCCTCACCAACACTTGTTGTAAGACTAAATTTTCATGAGGCAATACCATATCTATCTTCTTAGCTATATTCTCAGAGCATAGCATGTCAGAGATGCAAGATAAATATTTATTGAATAAATAAATGTATAAATACTTTTATAAGGAGCATGTAATTTGCATGATTAGAAAAAAATTAAAAGACAAACGCTTTAAGTTGGACCTGAAGCTAAGTCACTCCTCTAAGACATTAGATTAACACATGAAAGTTGAAAAGTTCTTTGAAAAAGAAACTCATTTGTTTCAAAAGAATGTGGGGTACAGCTCAGTAGCTCGTGCTCTGAATGGGTGATACTAAGGAGCAAAGCAGCGGCTGTGGTACAAACTCATGTTCTGTAAAGGTCTATGGATCCCTTCAGAAAAAATGGGAAATGGTGGATAGGGAGAGAATGCATTCCAGATTTCCCAGCAGCTGACGAGCCATGGCAGATGGATGGGCTCCACATCTATCACCTAATGCTCAGATGGGAGAATGTTGCCGGCTTACTACCTGAGGTATAACATTTGCGCACACAAGAGCACACACATACACACAGCTTTCCCAGCAATAGTTGGATTCTCGCATTCATTAGGAAAGACAGGGACAGAAGAGGCTTGCCCATTAACAAGCTCCAGAAATCCCACTGCCTTGTCTCTTCTCAGTGTAGTTTAATAATGAGGATTTCACATAATTCTGAGCTACCTATAGTTAGGGGGCATGAAAGAAAGACAAGGTTAGTAAATATGCCCTACTGATATAGTGAATACAGTGAATGGTGGACAAGGAGCCACAAATCCTTTGTCCTATTTCAGAGGAATTCTATGTGTGCACAGCAGATACCCAGTCAAAGCTGAAATGAAAAACCTGAACTCTTAAATTTCAATGCAAAAAAAAGTATCAAAAACTATATATCAGGTAGTGTGTAAAGTTAGGTGAAGGGAGCTAGGTAGTGGTTAAAGATTGGGGCATGATTTGCGACCCCTGAGTTTGGTCTTGTGGGGGTACAGACAACCAAGCAGAAAATAACAAAGTCATAAATCCCATGCCAGAGGGACTCACAGAATATTAAGGGAGAACTCAGAGGGGATGCGGAACTCAAGACAGGGAAAAATGAGTGAACTCCATGAAGGTTTGCTGGAGTTATGCAAGGGAAAGAGTAAGAGAAAGGGATGAGTATTCCAGGATTGTGGAACATACCAGGTTGAGAACAAGCACCTTGCTGCAGTGTACAGGTAGCAAGAGTTAGTTACGAAGGGCTACATCTGCCTTTACAAGGACTTTATACCCAACCCTGTAAGCCCAGAGTCAACACTAGATTTTTATTTCAGTCACTGGGCTTCCAGGTGGAAACTGTCTTGGAAGGAAATAAAAATCTGGGCAAAAGGAAATACAACTCCTTGATTAGTCAAGGAGTCCACTGCAATTTCCTAGTTCAAGGAGCGAGAGCCACATTTATAGCATTGAGGAGTGGGGCACATAACCAATGGATCCTCCTACAAAGAAGAGCTATAAACTCTGGACAGAAGAAAAAAAAAAAAACATCTATTACGGTCTTTGGATACTGAACAAGGACAGGCAAGCTGTAGGGGGCTGTGACATGCTTAGAATGGGTTCTCTGTGACTCAGTTGTTTGTTTTTGTTTGCAGCTTTGCCCAAAAACAGTATAGTCATCATGTCAGCAGCACAGATACTTTAGAAATTCAACAGAAAGATCATCTTTCTGGTAGATAAAAAATAGTGGAAGGAGTCCAGCATAAGCAGGACTGCCAAGAGTAAAGGGGAAGCCAAAGAGGGAGTTAGAGAAGGCAGAAACTTTAAACTGTATATAGACTCCACTCAAGTCTCTGGCAGAATCCCCCCCACCCCCGGAACCATGCATGTGTTGGGCTAAATGAAAGAAGTTTGCAGCCAAGGCTTCAAGAACTGAACTGAGATCTGAGCCATCACCCACAACAGCACGGCAGGGTGGAGGTGGGTCTAACCAAATTCATTAGCTGAAACAAAAACCTTAACACTGTTCAGATCAATAAAACAATCCAAAGTCTCCACAACAGAACCTTTACAATGTCCAGATTATAATCCAAAATTACTGAGAGTCAGGAAAATGTGGCCTATTTCCAAGGAGAAAGAGAATCAACAGATGCCAATCCTGAGATGACTTGGATGTTGGAATTTTCAGACAAGGACTTTCAAGCAGCGATTATAACTATGCTCAATGAGGTGAAAGAAAATATGCTACTAACTGATGTAGTAAAAAAAAAAAAAAATCCACAAAGAAAAATATAAAAAAGAACCAAATGGAAATTTAGAACAGAAAAATAAATTGCCTGAAATTTAAAAAAATCATTAGACTGAAGAAGAGAATGGAGATGACGAAGGAGTCAGTGAACTTGAAGACCTGTTAACAGAAATCATTCAATCAGGGGCGCCTGGGTAGCACAGTCAGTTAAGTATCCAGCTCTTGGTTTCGGCTCAGGTCATAATCTTAGGGTTGTGAGATGGAGCCCCACATTTGGCTCCATGCTCAGCTCAGAATCTGCTTAAGACTCTCTCTCCCTCTGCCCCTCCCCTGTCACACTCTCTCTAAAATAAATCTTTTTAAAAAAATCACTTGATCAGAATGAAATGAAAGCAAAGATTGGAAATAATAAATGGAGCTTCCTGGAACTATGGGACAATTTCTAATGCCTAACGTAGGGATACTAGAATCATAGAAGGAAGGGATAAAGAAACTAGAGCAGGAAAAATAGTCAAAGAAATAATGGCTAAACATTTCCCAAATTTGGTGAAAGACATAAATTTGCAAATCCCAAGAATCTCAGCAAACCCCAAACAGAATAAATTCAAAGAGAAATCTACCTTGGCACATCCTAGTCAAACTACTTTAAAAACATAAAGAAGAAAATCTTGAAAGCAATCTTGTTATATATATATAGGAGAACAATAATTTGAATTACCACAGATGTCTCATCAAGAACCATAGAAGTCAGAAGACAGCACTAAGAGAAAGAAACTCATCCCTGAACGCTCTGTGATTCAGTAATGAAGGTGAAAGAAAGAGCTTTCAGATCAAGAAAAACTAAGTGAATTTGTCCCCATGTTGCTACACTACACAAAATGCTACATAAAAAGTCTTCAGGCTAAAGAGAGATGATATCAGAGAGAAACTGAGATTTTCAGGAATGAATGAAGAACATCAGAAATAGATACTGTATGAGTAAATATGAAAGACTGCATTTTCTCTTAATTTCTCTAAAGTACATATGACTAAAGCAAAAATTATAATGTATTGTGGGTTTATAATGCATGCAGATATGATACCTATAACTATGACAGCAGGGAGAGGGGTAAATGGACCTATATCATTGCAAGATTTCTACATTTTACACAAAGTAGTACAATATTACCTTTAAGTGGACTAGGAACAGTTAATAATGTATGTTGTGATACCCAGAGCAGTGGCTAATATTTTAGAGAAAAGAGAGCAAAATGCCAATAGAT